TGGTTTGGTTTGGCAGTCACAGTCACAGTCGCGGGGCAAACAAGCAGAAAGGAAGGCGGTGAATCGTCTCGATAAGAGCAAGCAAGAGTTCCCCGCCAATACCTCTTTCGATATTGAGGCACAGCCACAGAGAGCCGAGGTAGGTGCTTGTCACTAGCCACCCGCGTCACATCAAGCTTGCCTGGTCGAGCGGGCAAACGTCGGAATATTCAAAGGAAGCTCTGAGCTCACCCGACCACAGACAGAGTGTTTTTCCCACTGGCCCGGAGGAGAGGACGTCATTCTGGAATCGTGACCTTCAACAGACTCGAACTCTCTATATCATGGCCATGTCCCTTGCGCGGACAGCCCTCAGGGCGCCGCAATCGCGTCTCATTACAGCCGCGGCCACCATCACAGCTCGATCTATCGCCGCGCACCGGTCCTTTAGCACCACCAACAATGCTCTACTCCCCTCCGGCTTCGGATCTCCCGTCCTGCCTTCATACTTCTCGAAGCCCCGGCTGCCGGCCAATACAGTGGTCCGGTTTGTGCCTCAGCAGACGGCTTGGATCGTTGAGCGCATGGGAAAGTTCAACCGTATTCTTGACCCTGGTCTGGCGATCCTCGTGCCTTTTATCGATCGAATCGCATACGTCAAAAGCCTCAAGGAAGTTGCCATTGAGATACCCAGCCAAAGCGCCATCACTGCGGACAACGTTACTCTGGAGCTTGACGGTGTTTTGTTCACCCGTGTCTTTGATGCGTATAAAGCAAGGTGAGTTCTCCAGAAGAGCAATTGAGTTCGTGATGGACATGTGACTGACCCAGAACTTGTATTCCAATAGCTATGGAGTTGAAGATGCCGAATATGCCATCTCTCAACTTGCCCAGACGACCATGCGATCCGAGATTGGTCAATTGACCCTCGACCACGTCCTCAAGGAGCGTGCTGCCCTCAACACCAACATCACCGCTGCTATCAACGATGCCGCCGAAGCATGGGGTGTGACCTGCTTACGTTACGAGATTCGAGATATTCATGCTCCTGGCGCCGTCGTCGAGGCCATGCACCGACAGGTCACTGCCGAGCGCTCCAAGCGTGCTGAGATTCTCGAGTCCGAGGGTCAGCGACAAAGTGCCATCAACATCGCTGAGGGTAAGAAGCAGAGTGTCATTCTTGCTTCCGAGGCTTTGCGCGCCGAGCGAATCAACGAAGCCGATGGTGAGGCCGAAGCCATCCGTCTCAAGGCTACTGCCACTGCTCAAGGTATCGATGCTGTCTCTGAGAGTATCCTAAAGGGTGATGCTGGTGCCCAGGCTGCCGTCAGCCTGAGAGTTGCTGAGAAGTACGTCGATGCCTTTGGCAAGTTAGCTCGTGAGAGCACAGCTGTCGTTGTTCCTGGCAATGTTGGAGATATCAGCGGCATGATCGCTACTGGTCTGAGTGTTTTCGGCAAGGTTGGCCAGGCCCAGGCACAAACTATGGCCAAGTCTCTTGTCGGGCCCAAGAAGGAAGGCTCCGAGACAGAAACTGATACGCCCTCAGAGCTTGATGGCCAGGCGAAGCCCGGTGTCAAGGAGACAGTGATCGAGAGCTTCAACCAGGCTGCCAAGCGATAGGGATAAAATACTAAAACAGCCTATGGCATATTACGGACGGAAACGAGATAAAATCACCCTTATATCAGCTCATCACTCAACCACCACATTAACATTCCACACTACCATGACTATCGGCGTTTAGCGGATGTATTATAGGGATCTCTAAGGAGAATCCGAGACGGCCTTGCTCACGGAGCTGGGGGATAACGGAGAGAAACGTCATCATGTAACATCAACTTTTCTTTATTCACAATTTAAGCGCATGGCAAAAGGAGGGAAAATCACGGCTCACCAGTCTGCCCACTTCTTCAAGCATATAAATAGCCTGCTGTTGAAGTAGGGGACACAGAATCGAACTATTTTGACTTTTACTATGTATGCCCTCCCGCTAAACTGGCATTCTGAGAGTTCCGGGTTCCATCTGTTGTTTGAGGAGTAGTGAAGTAATTGAGGTCAGTATGCATGTCTTATTGATCGATCCAGGGGTATATTGATTCGAAACTAAGGTATGTACCAAGAATATTTCCAAGCCCATGCCAACATCATTCATTATTTCCAGCTCCTGCATTCCTTCAAAGACTCAAGGCCATAATACCTGCTCAGCCTATCTGCGTCGCCAAGGTAACCGTACAATCTTGACGACTATATCGAGCTACTCGAATCACAACTTAAAGGAAAAGAGGAACCATGGCAACGAGACCCATGAAGAAGCTAGGCACCAAGATAGAGCCACTGTTGCTTCCTCCATTGCTGTTGCTGCTGCTACTGTTGCTATCTCCATCGTCATCGCCACCAGATCTGAGGCCGGTAGGTTCAGCAGACGAAGAGAATGTAGAGAACTTGTTGTCGTCGATCGTGGGGACAGGCTCGATCGAAGGGGCCGTGAACGAGGGAGAGTCGAAGGTAAGTGTTGCGGACTCTCGAGTGAAGCTGGACTTGTCATCATCGTCGGAGGAGGAGCCGCCGCTTGAGCCGCCACCACTGCTACCTCCGCTTGATCGATAGCCGCAAGTACCGTCGCTTTGACAGATTTGTCCAGATAGACAATATCCGGTATCACAGCAGACCATCCCCTTGGGCATGCAGCCATCGCCGCACTTCTCTTGGTAAGTCGCGCAGCTACCCCCAGACGAGCCGCCAGACGAACCTCCTGAACCGCCACTAGAGCCAGAGCTGCAAGTTCCACCAGAGCCACATGTCTGGCCACGGAGACAGTAGCCAGTATCACAGCAGACCATGCCCTTGGGCATGCAACCATCGCCACAAGTCTCCTGAAAGCTCAAGCATGAACCGCCAGAAGAACCACCGGAGGAACCACCAGAAGAGCCACCACTTCCGCCGCTGGTGCACTCGCCCTTGGTGACACAATACGCTCCGCAGAGCTCCTTGCCTGGTGTGCAACCAGTTGGGGGGCCAGAGCATAACTTTCCTTCCTCACAGCAGCCTTCAGCTTGACAATGATAGCCATCATCACAGTAGGCTCCTGTTCCCTTGTTACAGCACTCAGCGCCTGCATCCATGCAGCTGCTATCGCATGATGTCTTGCCAGCGGGACAAGAACCAGCCATGCTGAGGGTCTGAAGGCGAGGAGTGAAGCCAGAGAGAAGCGGAAGACCCTTTGGCTGTGCTGCTTTGGAGTTACTGAAGTGGACGCTATCAGTCGCGAAGGTCAAGCCCGCGAGGGCGAGTAGAAGAGTCGATCGCAGCATGTTGGAAAGACTGTGTAAGAGGGTTTGATCCACCGAAAACGATTGGGTTGAGAGAACTCTGGTGGAGGAAGCAGACAGGTCAAGATGAACAGGAGTTTTCTCTTCTTATAAGAGCACTGGTATTAACAACAGGCTGCTACCTACGGGAACGGCTGAAAGCCAGCCGTAGAGTCACAGACCGGTCAGAATCAACTAGCTGGGTATGCTAATATGCTAATGCATCGAATGTACGCCACCAAATATCTCCAGGGTCAAAGGTGGAAGCTCCATCTTGACGATGGCTTCGTGCGGGTACCATATCCGTCTGTGCTAGAGGCACGACCATCCGCCAATACAAACTGCAGCAGGTCGCCACAATACCTTGCCGAACTATAGGCAGTTGTGACATCTCTGTGATGTGTCTACCGTCCGTGGCTAATACCAAGCTTCTATGTCCTCAAGTTGAACATCTCCGTTGAGACGAAGTTCCCATATCCAGTCAACATGAGATACCAAAATAGGGCATGAGTGCGAGTGTCAGACCGGCCCAACCACATTCCGAATAAGACTATCCTCAAATTCTGCCCGATCATCATGCACCGTCCATGAACCAACTTTAGCAGCGTCGCTCTCTATAAGTTGGTGGGGACTGGGGTTCAGCTGCTTGGGATCCCTGTATCGATCCTAGATAGCCTGCCCTGGTCTAAGAGATGAGCAGACGAGGAGGGGAGTCGGAAGATGATCTTTTTCACAAAGATCGGTCACAAGGCCATAAACCCAGGTCTAGTCTCGTACCTCGCATTTGGCCCATTACACAACTTGCATAGTTGGGCTGCAGTGTAACGCTGTTACTGCAAGGCTGGTTGCATGCAGTGGATGAGTTGTAGGTTGAGTCGACCAAACAGATGGAAAAAGGCTGAAAGTGAAACAGCCGCTGAACAAAGTTAAGATTAGGCTTCTCTCTTGTTTGCCCTACAAGGCCGGGGGTTCCAAATTTACCGTCCAACGATATTGAGCCGTTGGCGCACTAATGCTCTGCCCTATAAGACTCATCTCGTGTCGGCCGCTTGCACTCACTAGAGCAATTAATGTCCCGTCCCATCTTATATCACTAGTGACATTCATCGACTTTTGTGCTGTCCCGAATTTAGATCACCCACCGAGTTCACCCTAGTCAGAGACGGACTGAAGCTTAACGTGTAAGGCTGATTGATCCATCACTCTCTCTGTTGGATATCACTCGGTGAAGACCTCAACTAAGTGACAGGCGACTTATGCGAAAATTGCCGCAAATCTTGGAGCTTGTTCCAGGATACAGGGTCTTTGATTCTGCAGCTAAAATGTTCCACAGGGTCCAGATGTTTTGAGCATTGAGCGGTGGAGGTGGCACCGAGAATATGCTAACCAATTCACGGCTCCTCTCATTGAACAGCTTCTCTTTGGGAAGTGGTGTTGATGATCCTCGAATTTCGTATCCTTGCATTATCAATAAGGATTATGCCTCGTCACGCTAATGCTGCCAAAGGAGTGGTGATTCGGTAACCTCGCGAAGACGGAGAAGTTGGCCTGACGAGAGGGTGTCATAAGGAGCATGGCTTTAGAGAACAATTAGTATTGATAAATATCAATCACAAATGTCAGAGGGACCTGTGAATATGCTATCTTTAGCAAGAACCTTTCTCGCATCTTGAACATGTGACGAACATAACTCTCCCTTTAGCAGACACATCACACTGGCACTCGAAGATCCTTTTTGATCAAAGTACCAACAATCTCCTCGCATGCAAATGAAACCTGTAGTTTCTCGTCACGCTTTGCGCCCAACCCGATGATGATCTCTTTCTTGTCAACCAGCTTTTTAGCACTTCCTCGCCAGAACCAAACAAGTCGTCCGTCGTCCCCTTGGACAAGTAATGTGAGCCAGGGTGTGCGGCCCTTCCAGTGAGGTAGCTTCTCATTGTTGAATCCAAGGACAGCTCGAGCAATCCAGAGAGGTTGGCTGGGTTTTGCCGTGTCTGTTACAGACCGGTTGTCTTCATGTGGAGCTGACGAGTTCGAGTTGGTTGCCGAGTCGGGGATGTAAGGACCAATGATCTCAAAGTCGAGTGTGAGACGAGGGAATCCAGCAACTTTGTGAAGGATAGTTTGACCGAAGGGTGGGTTTCGACTAAGAATGCGTTCAATGTTGTAGAATTCAACTGTAGCCAACTGCTTTATGTTCTTGATGTTGGCCTTGACGAGCTTGTCCTTTTTTGCTTGGCCGATGCCCTCGATTTGGAGGAGTTGACTGTCGCTCCCCTCCCAGACTCCAGCTTTGACACACCTCAGCACTTCAAGAGCAACATATACTCCCTTTCCATCGCCTCGTTCTCCAAGGATGTCGACTAGGCACCTCAGCACATGGTCGAGGAGTTTGTACATGCGGGCGAGCTCTTTCGTCAGCTCTTTGCGCGAAGGCCCCGATAGTTTGTTTGGCCAACCAGTCTTGAGCAGATCAATCTGAACCAAGAGATATACTTTGTGCCATGGTTGGGAGATGAATTCCTTAACTTGATAGGGGATTCCGGTGTTGTCATTGATCGCTCTGAAGAAGGCGGTCTCCTCCTTTTTCATTGGGAACGACTTGAACTCGGTGGCAGAGCATGCATTCCTCAAAATGTCACGAGCATCTGGCTTGCTTTTAATCTTGCAAAGGATCTTGAAGGTCGAGACGGAAATTTCGTAACGCTTTTGGATTTCGTTTGAAGTTTCTGGAGCCAGAGTTTGCGTGCTCGACGCCGCCTGCGGTGCTTCTGCCATGATGGACAGAATTCAAATTGGTTTGTTTCCCGAGTTTTTCTTTCTTTTCAGAAGACAAAAATAATTCAAAGATCCTGAATGACACGGGACCTTCCATCTTGTTATTGCAGAGTACCTCCTGCTTGCTTTGGCTCATCCATCGTTGGAGTGTGTGGAAACTGCACCTTCCTCCCCTGAAGATCAGTTGAGGACAACAAGAAAGGTAGGTACCTGACACACTCGGCCGCTATGGCTTACCTTAGTAGGTACCCAAACAAACATGGAAGTGCCGAAGTCGTATCTGAAAAAGAGAAATGATCGCGCCTTCCATTGATGAGAAGAACATTGCTCTCGACGGGAGTGTCGACACATTGATGATGCTATTTTGGCTAGAATGAACGGCAAGCGAAGAGGGCAATGACAAAGTGAGTCACGGGGAAGTAAAAGAACCTGCTAGGATTTATCGTCTACCAAGAGGCATGCATTTCTCTGAAATAAAGTATGATAAAAAGTGACAGGCCTTTGAGCTTGTTGTGAGGGTATTCAATGTTCCTGAGGGACAACCTTCTCTCTGGTCGCATATTTATACCACCAGATTCGACAAGCTCGCAGTACCCAGTAGACAAAAACAATATCATAGATTAGAAAAAGGGTTCTTGTTAATGAATGTGGCTTTATGTCCGGAAATGCCTTTTGCGGGTGATCTACTAATTCCGTCTCAGTGGAGACCTCGACTCAGCTGAAATGGAGTTTATGAGGGGTCATATGTCGGCGAAGACTCATCTTCATTCAAGGTGACTCTACAAATATATTTGCTATAGCACGACATATGTAACTCTGATTTGCTTCAATTTTTCTGTAGAAACTCGATAATCAAGCAATAATGCTATCTTACAAGCTCTAACTTCTACCGCAAACCATCATAATGTCATCTCGCCCGCAGTTCTTTCATCTTCCCAACTCTGCATCGTGTCGTATACTCGACCGCTTCAGTGACCTTCCCGACGATGCGGGAGTCGAAGAAGATGAGGATGGCAAAATACCATTTTGGCCGCTACTGAAAACACCTTCTCTGTACGCCTGTGTCGAGTATCGTGCAGCTCATTGATCGGTTACAAACAATCGCCGCCAACGCAGAGACATGTCATGATAGTGACTATGGGTTTCTGAAAGGGTTTCTTGAACAACGAGGCGAAGCTGATATACTTGATAAAATATGGCCAAAGATTCGCGATGTTGCACTCGATTTGCCTACCTACTTTCCTGATGGAGAGCTTGGATTGCTTCAGCCGGGACATCCACTTCATCTAAGTCGTGGGCAAGTTGCTTGTCTTGTGGCACATCAATTCCTCTGCTCATTTACACCTCAAAAAAACGACGACGGATATCAAGATCTGGGCATATGGTTCTCATCCGAGCAGCGGCATCCTACCGCAGTACAGATGTACTTGGAAGCGTTGTTTGCATACTTTCAGAGTACACCTGAAGCAAGCGCTCTTCTGGAAGATCATCAAGTTACACCTAAAAGTAATCACTGTTCTGTCTCATACGAACTTCATCCAGGAAAGCCAGTCTCACTAGAGGCTGCGAAGTTAGCCAAGCTACAGGTGAACTTCCTGGACACTCACACATCAAATACGCATAACCCAGAAGTTCAAGGTGAAGGAGGAGGAGCTGTTGTATCATCCAACAAGGTCATCGGGTTTGGTCAATCCGCCACACAAGAAGAAATCTTTGTCGGGATTGCTCCTGAAGCTTATCCCGTGGTCCTGGTTGCGCCTCATCTCACAGACGACACAGTCATCTCTGTTTCTGGAGCGAGAGCGATGATTGATATGAAAGGCCAAAGGCGTAATATTGAATGGACTATACGTCCCACGCCGCCAACAGAAGACTTCGCAGGTTGGAAGGAATCATGGAAGGGAGGACATCTTGTCTTCATGGACGCTTTGGAGATGGACATGCTCGACCACTCGGGGAACGATGGGTTACCCGACTTATCTCATGGGAACATTGATCGCGAAATCAATAAAGCAGCAAATGGGTTTTCATCCTACAAAGGAAACTCCGTCTTTACTGGGCTCTGGGGCTGTGGCGCCTTCGGGGGTGACCCAGGGGTGAAGCTCCTGATACTATGGCTCGCAGCAGGGGCAGCAGATGTTGAGTTGAATATAATGCTTGGATCCGGAGAACACGACCTGGGAAGGAAACTGGAAGAGATAGTCAGGGCTTGCCAAGATTTGACAGCAACTGACGTGCGTGAGCTGCTATCAAGAGTTCCCCGAGATTTGAGGGGTGAAAGAATATTGGGATGGGTTGCGAACGAGGCTTCAGGGTCTCGGTAAGGCACATGTTGAGGGCCACGAATCATGATCTTGCCAGCTAATGTTTAGAAAGAACAAGCTCATTAGAAATCTGACAATCAGGACCGAACTGAACCCCTTGGTGGACTATTACCTGAAGCACTTGAGGAGTAAGTGGACCTTGAACCCGCGTATAATCCCAGTTGCTGGATAGATCCCGAGTATATCGGGTTTGGGGAGATGCCCGAAGTATTCTTGGCTTTTACGGAAACTCGTGTTGCTATAATCGTATGCTGTTTAGGCCAACGAAAGAAATATCGGTATGCAACTGGTTTTCATCGAGGGAAAAGGCCGCGTATCAGGAGAACCATGGGATGTGCCCGAAAATGACTCTGATATGTGCACCACATACTATAGACAAATCCTTCTAAAATTGAGTACGAGAATAGCTTCGAGAGTATGGGTATGAGTTAACCTTTCTGGTGAATTTAGTAGTGGTAATCTTGCTCAGTCGCTGTTTCTTACTGCTTTCTACGTTGAATGATCACTCGGACTACGGTTTGAGAGACAATACACATGTTAAATTCAAACGGCAAGATGTGATAAGTAATCGATTGATTATTTATGTTCCTCCAGAAAATTATATACATCTTAAACGAAGCTCTTCATTTCACCAACGGATGTCGCTGGTGAAGAAGCCGAGACAAGGGGCATCGCCGCTTACAGCTTAAGAGTGGCACCAGCAACACCAACAACAGCCGACTTGACCTTGGAGGAGCCGACAAGAGAGTACTGGTAAGGGATGTTGGACTTGGAGATGGAGCCCTTGGGAGCATCGTTGGTGGAACCGCCCAGGTTGACATCGTTGACAGAGATGGTACCAGTCTCCTTGGAGTCCTTGGAGGTGAGAGCCTTCTTGGCGCTGGAGAAGGTAGTAGACTCAACAAGAACTTGGGCACCCATGCGGGAGTTGACACCAGTCACGCTGATATCCTCGTAGTAGCTGTTGAAGACGTGGACGAAACCGAAGCGGACAGAGGGAGCGCGAGATCCAATGCTGGACCAGTGGTTGTTGGCATAGGTAACGTGGAGAGTGCCCTTGTCCTCGGAACCGTTGCTGTCGGAGTGGCCGACGAGAGAGGCCTTGTGGTGGTCGTGGAAGTGGGTGTTGGACACGGTGACGAAGTCAGAGGCGTGGGTGACATCGAGGAGACCGTCGTAGAAGTCCTTGTCCTTGGACAGGTCGGAGGACAGCTCGCAGTGGTCGACCCAGACGTTGGTGGACTTCTGGATACCGATGGCATCACCGTTGTCAGCAACAACGTTCTTGATCTTGAGGTTGCGAACAATGACGTTCTTCTGCTTGTTGATGTAGAGACCAATGTTTTCGAGAGAAGCACCGGCGGCACCAACGATGGTCTTGTTAGACTTGACGCGGATCTTTGTGTTTCCAGAGATCTGGCCCTTGACGTAGATGACCTGCTTGCCCTCCGACTCAGCAGCCTTGCTGAACTCGGCGAGAGAAGAGACAGTCACGGTAGCACCACCAGCACCACCGGTAGTACCGCCGTTCTGCGTAGCGTAACCAATGTTGGCAGCATCAGTGATGGCAGCTCGCTTGCCGAGCGTCTTTCCGGCCTCCTGGAAGGTAGGAGTAGGGACGGCGCTGACCAGAGCAGCGAGGTTGAGAAGACCAAGGAACTTCATGTTGACGATTTTGAATGTATATATCAAGAAATTGGGTAAAAATAAAGAGTGGAAGTCGGAACCAGTCCAGACAGTAACGATTGAAAAAGAGTTGGAAAAGAGGGATGAAGGATGAAGGACAGAAGAGGAGAGTTAGTGGTCACAGCGAGGTTCTTATATATGAAGCCATCGCGAGATGTCGTGCTCAGTCATCCTGATTATCGAACACTGTGCCCTTGATGCGGTGATGATCAAGTGCCATTGAACAAGATGGTGGTTTCAAGGGTTTGAAACGTCTTTACACGAATAGGATAATTCTCCGGCGTTGAAACGGGAGGTGGGCCAACAATCCGGAGCAGAAGTGGATTCTCAATGCCGGACCATGCCATCGGCGCTCGGCCGGTATCGGTAACGCTGGACGTTTTCATTACTAGTTCCCAGTTAAACAGTTTCAGGTCTGACATTTTGGGAGGTTGACAGAACAAAGAACAGAGATCACCACATACAGAACTCGGATACTGCATCTCCGGATCGACAATAATCATCTCGAATACTCGGTCAGTAATACCCCGGGCCTAATATGACGACGTCTCGTCAGAGGAGACGATGCAACATGTATCCTTTAATTCGCCCACGACGGAAACGCGGCTTCATCCTTGTTGGCAGCCAAGAAACATCATACACCGAAGCTTGAGATAATCTTAACTGGCCTCGGCTCTAACTTAAGCATCATTGGAATAAGCTTAAAGATATGTCTACATATAATGAACGACGAGTGACATGCTTCGTCAAGTATATGGCATAAAGGCTACCTATCTAATGAAAGAAAAGAATTGACCTATCTGTGCTTATACATTCAACAAAGCTTTGCCAACAATATTTTTGTTTGTACCGTCAAGTGGGTGACATTTACGAGAGCGCGTATGTTGAAACAATTCGAAACAGCCCGATTATTCAGTCTTTCATCTCATTCCCATCAATCTCGGACCACGCATTCACCATTCTCCCACCAATAACTGCGACCTTTTCGGCCTGGGGTGAGTGGAGCTGTCATGGAAGGAAAATGGTAAGGCTAAGCTAAGCGCCCAGGGCAGGAAAGAAAACTCAGGACTGCGGTCCCAAATGATAAACAGACTTATTAGGTAACATAACTTAAGCTTAAGAGACTCTCTACCAAGTTTATTTTAGCACCCTATTCTCAAGTCTTATAGTTTCTTGCTCTCTGAGGGCGCTGTGCTACTGTTTCACAGTTATGCACCAAGCCTCCGCAGGACCAGCCTGGGGGAAGAAAACACATGACTCGGTTTGGTGTAAGCCGGGCAGGGGAGCAAAGAAAACTTAGGACCTCTATCCTAAGGAAACAAAGATAGAGTTGACTCTGATAAGGCTTAGGGAATTCTAGTGTATTTCAGGTTCTTCATACTAAAGTTGTAGGATGTCTTCTAGGTAGGTTTGCCAAACTCATCAAAGGATACTGCACCAACCTCCACTTGAATCAGTACCAACACCAGCCTCAAGAACACCGACATCTACCCAAGCCTTCTTGACTTTCTTCGCATCAGCCGAACCGTACAGCTCTTGCGCACAGTCTACTGTGGCAGTTGCAAATTGCTTAAACGTAGACTTGGGAGGAATTTTGCCCGACCTCAAAGCTGCCCACCAAATCTTGCCAGCCTTTTCCTAAGAGTATCCGCCGAACGACACAGAAGCTAGATAGAACGCTTTGTTGGGGATCCCGGAATATATGTGGACTCCGCCGTTATCCTCATATGTTGTCCTGAATTGCTTCATGTTCGCAACCTGCGGATCTTTGCCCTGAGAGACAGCGTTAGCCGCAGCTCGCTGCATGTGCAGTTGCAGAAGGGTGGAAGGAGCATGCACTTACAAAAACGGGATCGTCGTAGGCAGTTCCAGGCTCCTTCATGCTTCGCAGAGCAGTGCCTTTGACTCCAGGAAGAATGCAATCTTCGCCGATTAACCAATCTGCAACGTCCGATTTCTCGTCCTGAACCCTTTGCTTGACCATGATGCCGAACACATCCGAGACATGCTCGTTTAGAGCACCGGCCTGACCATAGTAGTCAAGAGGGCTTGTGTGCTCTGTGACTGCATGTGTGAGCTCGTGGCCGATGACATCGATGCACCCGGTAAAGTTGTTGAGAAACTCGCCGCCGTCGCCGAAGACCATTTGAAGCTTTTCTGGGTCCCAGACTAGATTTGTTAGTACAAGTCAATCACACTGCAATTGCTACTCACAAGCATTCTCGTATTGTTTACCAAAGTGAACAGTACTGATGACATCCATATCCTTATTGTCGATTGACAGCCATTGGAAGAACTTTTTGTAGAAACCCAAGACAAGTCCGACGTTGTCGAAAGCCTCATTGACAGCCTTATCAGAAGATGGCTTGGTTGATGCGGCTTCCTTCTTTCCGTTGTCACGAATGAGGTCGCCAGGAAGTGCACTTTCGTTTGAACTCTCGTGTATGTCATGCACAGCACGGTAAGGAGGGTCGTCGGTAGCAGTTAGCGATGGGACAACATGTGAGGTGCCGGGTTCTGTGAACTGCGAAGAGCCCAGCTGCTGCTGTGCCCCTCTGACTTTTCCGATAACAGTTTCAAGATGATCGAGACCTTTTTGGGCCCGTACACGCTATGCAGGGTCGGCTTGATCTGAATCGATGACATTTCGAAAGAGTTCAGGAGGAACGATCTGCCGCTGGACTTGGTTGTACGTCTTCAAATACTGCTCCCGACGCTTCTGGCAGTTTACCAAGAACTTCTCTGTGTGTGCAAGAGAAGCTAGTGCTATCTCTCGGTGCTCCGGAGTTGCTGCTTTGCTCTTCGAGATAGCTCGCAGGAGGTGAGGAGGAACAGCAACCATGATGAATATTGAATGTGAATAATTGAATATGAATACTGGACTTTGGAACGGGGGTTTGAAAGAGAGAGAAAAGATACCAGGTGAGGAGGTCTAAATATCTGGAGGTTGAGGTGTGACTTCCTAAATAATATCTATGGATGGAATCAGGAAGGCATGCCTCAGTGAGAAAGGCCCTCCAACCTTAGACTGCCTTGTCCAATATGCTCTAAATCTTAGGTAAGTTTTGTCAAGTTCAACCGATGCGACGTCTGGGACACGGAGGGGTTTGATTTCACAACAGGGGCGAGATGAGAACAACCTTTAAACAGGATTGTTACTTTAGTTGCCTAAATCGCCAATTCTTTCCATCATGTTTCCACTTGACGCTTCAGCCACCACCTTATGTTATGCTGACGAAATCACTGATGATACTCGAAGTAGGTGAGCAACTCTAGGTATTGAATGATCATTACTTCTTGTATAGTTGGTTAATGCATATTTCGGGGAAAGGGGGCCGGCGGAGGAAAGAAAACTGAGGACCTCGGTCCTAAATGATAAGAAAACCTATGTGACTTGATATAAGTCTAGGATATCTTTTACTAAGCTTATTCTAATCTCCTATATTGAGGTCCGCTGTTTTCTTGCTCTCTGAGGGGGGGTTCAGAAGATATACAGAGATGGGCATCAAACTCTCCAGGCATCGGTCCGTTGTCTTGATGTCAACCTGTCTCTGGTAGCCAAGTGGTCAATGTTCTGCACTTATCTCCAATTTTAATCAGTGTAAGACAGTATTGACTACTATCACCTGGGTTTATATGCACCCTTGGTTCTTTAAGAGTTAGCTAGTTGTATTATGCCTGTGTCAGGAATGATAACTACACAAGTCAGGACCATTTCCGCAGGGCCCTAATGAAGTGGCAATGCCGTTTACAATTATCGGTGCCCCTACTTTATGTAAATAGTATCGAAAGTCGAGATGGTACGGGTTTGTTACTAAATGAAGTCACGGTCATCTTTTATATATCTAATATGTAGTATCTTTATAACTACAATACCAAGGATCTCGGACACTAGAGAATTCGTAGAGGAGCACCAAGTCAAAGCAAATAAGAGTGAATTACATACTAGATAGCACATCTAAGAAAAAATAAAATAAAAAAGGCATGATTCGAACACATAACCTTCGTAGCAAAAAGGTGAGATAATGGCCGAGAATTCCGGGCTAGCGAGTTTAGCTATGACTGGCCTGCCCTTCCCAACTAGGCCATTCATCTCTAGGATCCTGTCCTGGAAGTACTGTAGGTAATTACGCCTTATAAGAGCTTCAGGTCTTGATTTCTATGCCACCTTGAAAGAGAGAGTCGGATGAGTGCATTTCGGGTACCTTAGGTTGCAGGGATACAAGGGAGTTTTTATACTGGATGGCGATAACCTTTGGGGTACCTGCATATCCGCTCCACCCACACACGGGGAATCCTTGCGCTTATCCCTTGTGTGATAAACCTTGAATCATGGATGCACGCACAGTCAGTGTAACTAACTAACTGTGCAGATTCGCTTTCACACCTGAGCTATCGTGATACAAGAAGCAATGGAAAGATGCAACTAAATAAGTGAGACCCAATTGGAACCACTTCCACCAAAATATGCGGCTCAACCAAAAACAAACAACAGCCATGTCTCACTCCAGCACACCCTCACAGCCCAAACAATACTATTTTCTCAGCCAAGCACTCTAATTTCCCTCAAGCTGACGATCATAATAGATAAGCTCAAGATTACGCGTCCGCCAACTCCTCAGCTCAACAGCAGATCGATAGTCTTGGCGGTTTCTCCTTGACCATTGGCAATATCTTGCTTGGATGTTGATACTCCCTTGATTAACACCTCCTCTTTGTTACACGGCCCTTGCATATCACCCTTTAGTCTGCATATGCACGTACAACCCTCCAATACAAACTGCCAAGAGCTTGCCTGAATGCAGCCCGGACTCACCCAATCTCGTCTGTGTCAAGAGTACATCACCAAAAGTAAACAAGCCAAAAGATGGTTTCAGCAAAATATGCTGCTTCTATTCCATTCGAAAAACAGATTCTATCTGCAAAAGGTATCGTGCGTAAAAAATGGCATCTAAATAATATGCAATGCATCATCCAATCCAATCCAAAGTAGTAATTCATCCAAGCCATGTCTGTCTTCCTCTGTCAATGTGTCATAGTCCATCTCTAGTTGAAGCTTTCGTACAAAAAATCACAAGCTCATCCATCATATGCCCTGTGCATATCTCCCCTTCCCAGGCAAAGCAGGAAGAAGAAATTGGGCCAAGACGCTTGGCTTGAAGCCAAGTTTTGGTCCGTCTCGGCGGGCTCAAGAGAGCAGGTCCTCATTAAAAATCGCTAGGTTTTGTTGTTCAAAAACGTTATGTTTGCTTGCCAAGAGCCCTTTTCCCATGTCTGTTATTTTTCTAGCGCTTTTTTTTCCTTTGCCCGTCTCTTTCTTTGTCATGAAGTCGCCCTCATTCCAAAAAATACTTCCGAGTGATGAAAAGGTTGGGTTGCCTTGGCAAGCATGTAAGGATCGACTCGAAGTAAGGTAATTAGAATGGTCTGCTTTCCGCATGTAGGTTGCGAAACTCTACATGCTTACAGTGACCCCGAAAGAAGTAATTGTAGAAGCAGAAGTGAAGATCTAGATGAGGATCTGGGCAACCATGAGGCCGGCAAAGGCGGCAACGACGCTGCCGGCCATGCGAGAGCCAGAGTTGACGGGAACGGGGGTGGTGGAAGGCTCAGAGGGAGAGGCACCAGAGCCAGTGGCTGTGGCAGCTCCGGCACCAGCTTCAGACTCAGATCCGGAACCAGAGCTGGATCCGGAACCTCCAGTGGCTGTGGCTGTGGCCTCGGCCTTGGTGCTGGTAGCTGTGGCAAAGGTGGTAGCGACCTCAGAGGTCTTGGTCTCCTTGACAGACTCCGTCTTGGACTCCTTCTCAGTAGACTTGGTCTTAGACTCGTGAGCGCTGGTGGTCTCAACTGCAGAGGTGGTGGCCTCAGCAGTCTTGGTCTTGGTAGGCTCGGCAGTCTTAGTGGTCTTGGAAACCTTGGAGACGGTGGTGCTGGTGCTGGTGCTGGTCTTGTCGTCGTCGGAAGAAGTCTTCTCAACCTTGATGCTGGTCCAGTCACCGGTCTTGTCGGTGTAGACGTACTGCTTAGCGCCCTTGTTCTGGCCAGGAGCGTCCTTTCCAGCGTAGTCAATGATGGTCACGCTGCGGTAGTAGGCATCAAAGGGAGCATCGTCGAAGTCAGTGTAGCCACCAGCCCACTCTCGGGTACCCTCGTTGCTGTTCTTTCCACCAGCGACCCAAGTACCAAGCTTGACCTGCATAGGAGTCTGAGGGAAGCCGTTGACACCCTTGGCATCGGCAGCGTTAAGAGTACGGACAACGGCATCGTCAATGAGCCAGTCAATCTTGGTGGAAGTCCACTCAATGGAGTACTTGTGAGTAGTGGTAAGAGGAGCAGCAACTGGATGGTACTGAGCACGGTCGTATGTAGTGGTATCGCCCTTGCTGTAATAATTGGACTGGACCTGAGCATTATCGCCGCCAACCCATTCCCAGTCAACCTCGTCGAGGTCGTCAGACTGGAGAACAGCGGAGGTAACAATGCCCTGACCCTTGGCAGCCTGGACAACAACATCGACACGACCAAAGAAGAGGTAGTTGTCAGATCGAATTGTAGGAGCATCAGACTCCTTGTTGATGCGGAATAGAGCACCACGGTCGCTGTACGTGAGTTCGGTTCCAATCATGCCGTGGAAGGCATCGCATGCACCCTTGGCCATGTCGCAGTCAACCTCGTTATCGCCAAAAGCAGGATCAGCAGGGCATGCTGTGATAATGTCAGTGTCTGTGCACGATATCCGTAGCAAATGTTTACTCACTCTTTTTCAACGGGTTGCAGTCAGTGAAGGTCTGAGCAGAAACCATACCAGCACAGGCAAGAGCCATGGCGGCAGTAGTGAAAGCTTTTGAGAACATTGTATTGTGTATTTGTGATGTGATTGCTGTAGTATGCTTGTTGTATAATTCAATCTCAAGGTGTTGAGTTGTTATCAAGAGGTGTCTTGAGCGATGGAGTGGGAACCACTTGTAAGCTGTATGTGTAAATAGGTCTAGGTATATACCTGAGCGAGAGTGTATATAATAGCAAGCAAAAGAGAGTAAACGGAGGTGAAGAGGTATTAAAAGGTATGAAGATAGTGAAACTGAGAGAGGAAGAAGTTCAGGTCAGTGAATGGAGACGTTGGTGTTTTAATGGCAGCGCCCTCCCTCTGTCTCGGCGCCTGTAGACGACTAGAGACGTCTCTAGACTAGAGGCGCCTCGGGTCCGGGTGGATCTGGAGGAGCCTCAACCCCTGACCCTGATCCTGGCAGCCAAGGGAAGCCGAGCTCTAGAGCTTGCCAAGTTCGTCTTAGGGGCAGCTAGGGGCTCGATTGATCCATGTGCCCCTGTCATGCCACAGAACATGGGCTTTTCCACTGAGATTCCGGTTTCGAGCGAGACATGATTCACCCAAGAACAAGACAATCTCTGGGCGTTAGGCAGTTGGCGGCTGAGACAAGAAACCGCCACGATCCAGAACCGGCGGGTTCTACTGTAAGCCAGTGGGTTTAGGTGCTTAGTCGCTGATGAGAAATTATTATGGTGAAGGGCCTTGTGGGAAAAAAGCTGACAGTTGATTGATGTAAGCCACTTTCTTTGTGGCTAGGGTAACACAGCATCAACAAAACACAACTCGTTCAGAAGCCCACTATGAGATGCCGATCTACCGTTCAGTACATCCGAGTGACAATATCCTTAGATAGCATCACCTAAACTGGCGAGATGAATCGCTGCGGCAAACTGAATCTTGGCTTTTGGTCGCCTGAGCTAACTCGCATCCACACTTGGACACAATACGAATTCTCACATGGCCAATATCCCGTACCGATAGCTCTTAGCTTCTTGGTACAGGCGATCACC